AACAAAAACATGAAAAACTATTACATCACTTATTGCTAACCTGTGGCACTGCAAAAACAAGCCTGCCTCTTCCGCATCTGTTTTTGAAAAAGATGTTACAAATTGGACATGCATTATTTCTATATTGTTTGTTCCTTTGTTAATTCCATAGTGGCACCATATGTTAATTGACTTTTTACTTGGTTTTTTCTCCATAACGTTGTATGGATTAATTTAAACAATGGATCATTGATTTAGACCATTTTTGAAAATATTACATAATATTTCGGAGGGTCAGGGTAAACCTGTTCCTGGGAAAACTCGTCCCCTCCATGGAAGCACTCCCTTTTTTGCAAAAGCAACCATTTTAATGTTAAAAGAAATAGATAAATAGATATCCAATGTTGCTGATGTAAAATGAGAATCTTAATTTTTTTTTGTTATACAAGGTGACAGACTAAACGCAAAATAAAAATGCTAAACTTCTGAAAATGCACAAAGAAATTTTAACCTAATGTCAATTAGAATAACTATTTGCTGTTTTTTCCAGTAGATCAAATGCAGTTATTTTTTAACTTACCCTTAATACTTCTCTATATGCTTTCTTCTTCTTTGATGTCATGAAAATAAATGCCAAAGGAATCTGCTTTGTTTCTTCATCTTTTTTTGTAAAGGCATGGATGGAAAGAAGTTGAACTGATGGTTCTTTGACAACCTTAAATGTACCATCCAGATACCAAACTTTGATTTTAGATAAAAGGTCACACTGTTGCTAGGAAGCAAATATGATTATTATTCAATTTCCAAATGAAACATATTTTTGCAGGAAATTGTCAGGAAGAAAATTAATGTTTATTTCAAAAAGAATAGGGGTGAAACCGTACCCACTAGAGGGTTAAACCATACACATATAAACCATACCTGGGTTAAACTGTACCCATTTGTAATTTAATGTTCTGTATATGTTTTATATATATTTATAATATATATATATATATATATATTTGTTTATCAGACATCACCTTTTCATGCATAATGATCAAATCTCCCTCTTTTTTCAGTTCATCCACTAATATGTAGAATGAGCCTTTTGAATGCACTTTACAACTATTTATCCTGTTGTGCCAACCCTCCAGACTATTATTTGTTCTAATTGATAGACCAAACACTGATCAATTTTCAGGTTTTCACATAGAATTACATATCTATGTATTTTCAAAATACAACAGTAGGTCAGAAAATTTCCGTTGTTCCAAAAGTTCAGACTTGAGTCTGCCAAATCTTGAAATGATGATATCAGATGGCAGAAATGGTAATGCCATGATTTTTCTTTAGATCTCTCCATTCTTCTCCTTTCTCCATATATTGTTTGGAATATCCTAAAGACTGATAATAACAAATTAATTATGAAATAAGATATTTTTATCTGTTTAGAGTAATAACAAACAGAAAATATTTATTCATAATTTTACAAATGGATGCAATTTCAGGAAAGTTGCTGCTCAATCAATAAGATTAAAGATGCTGATAACCTGGAAGAACCCCAATTAGATATTGAAAGACTCTCAGAACTGTTGGAATTACGGTATTAAAGAAGACATTGGAAAAAAGGGTGTACAGCTACAGCAAGTAATGGATTATATGACAAATAAGCTTGATCAACATTCAAAACAACTAAATTATGCAAAACAAATTGGCATTAACCCTTCATTAACTAACTCTAGAAGATATTTTATGGCTTGGACGAAGAAACCACTACAAACTATTATCAATTTCCTTATTCCTGCAACAACAACTGGTGCAATTGTATTGGATAAAGATGAAACAAATACATAAAAACATAACACAAAGAATACTGAACAAATTCAGAAAAAAAAATGATATCAAATCCATTGAGGAATGCCAACCCTTGAGAGTTGGAGAGTAATAAAAATTATATACTGTAATTAAAAAAGTCTATAACTAAGAAACTTAACTTAAAAAAGCAAATAAGTTGAAAAAAAAGCTGTTTGAGAGATGTCTATTTGAATGCTAAACCGGATGTAAAGTAAGTGCGTCAAAAATCGTGTCATTTGGCCAAATAAAGAAAAAACTTGTGCACTTAGATATACTGTAGTGATATATCAATACTTAGACTTTAGATATAAGGGTACATTAGAAAGACTTCTATTTCGTAGGAATTATAGTGGTGGAAGTTTAGAAAGACTTTTATTTCGTAGTGTTAGCTTTTAGTACATTAGAAAGAACTCTATTTCGTAAGAAATAGACTCTTTGACTGTAACAGATAGTGACTACTTGGGAATTAACAAAGGAACAAAGAACATGGAAAAGATGCAGGTCAAACACCAGATGCTGATGAGGCAGGCCTTGTTTGCTGTGGCACATGCTTGACATGTGGCCCTAATCTTAGGATTATATTTTATATGTTTGATATAACAAGTCTTTCATATTTTTGTTACATGAGAATTATGATACTGTCAGATTTGAACTTTGTAATCCTTTGACCACTTGAACCCAAGCTTTGGAAATGTATAAAAGGAAATGCATTTCCCCAGCTTGTCAGTTCAGTTCTTTAACAGTTAACTGGTTGTTTAAACTTACTTAAATGATAAATGATTGGAAAGGACGAATACTGTTCTGAAGAAGCAGAAATTCCTACAATTACAATACAACAAAGTACAAAACTTATGATTATTACTAAAAATATTTTGCTAATAATATTTACAAAATATGATGATTTTTTGTCAAATTTTCTTTAGTATTATGTAAATGTAACTCTTTTTTGATTTAAATTTAGACAAAAAAAATACTTTTCAGCGAACAAACATTTTTAACTGTTAATTACAAATTGGCGTATCAGAATTCGAGGTGTGCCTATATACATGTCGTTTACTTTATATATGCTAAGCATATATAGAAGAACTGATCTTCAACAGTATTAAATGGAAGCAAAAGGAATTGCAAAGAAAAATTCAATAATTCAGCAAAAGAATTATTCTTCTCTTTTGGAACATTCAAAAATTGAACATTTCAATAAGACAATCTTAAAGTTTCTCCTTGATCTTTTAAGAATATTGTTAAACTTGAAATGAATTGGATAACTAACATGATGAAACCTCAAAGAAGGGAAACTATGAAAAGGAAGAGTGGAGAAATGATAGAAAAAGAAGTTCTCCACTCTCTTAGAATGTCATTAGGACCTATTGGGAATGGTTTGGAGAGAGGAAGAGTTATGCAAGAAATATTTAAAAAGCTTGATAATGCCTTCGATAAAACAGATGAATTTCCAAGAACTAAAGGAGTTTTCACTGTACAAGAGAAGGTCCTAGACCTTCAAAGGACAGCCAGATTGTTAATTGTTACCCCTACAAAATAAAGGGAAAGCCTGTGTGACCAAGATACCTTCCAACAACTCAGATGAGACAGTGGGGATAGCAAAATGAGGAGAATACAGTACAAGGTCGTGGTGTAAGAGCTCCCAAGTAGCAAGGGAACCACTTTATACTCAACATTCCAATAGTGGACCAATGGATTCCTTGGATGTTGTCTTACAAGGGGACATTGAAAGGGGTACTACCACCTTGGGAATGGGAGAGTCAATTCTTGAAGAATTAAGTAAAGGTGTGTCTGACCTGTAGTGGAAAGAAGTAACAAGCAATATTTACTTTTAATGTTCCACCATTATAATTCCTTTATATCTAAAGTCTAAATATTGATCTATTATTGTGGATGTACTCTCTTGCTGTGGGGTTGTAGGTAAGTATGCACTTTGATATAATGATATTTGTCAAAATATTTTTATCAAACTAGGAAATGTCAACTTTGAAGAAATTTCACTATTTCAGAATTTTTGGTAACTTGAAATACATTTAACCATGAGGAAAGCATCAAACAAACAAAAACATTTTAGAGCTTCACATATAAGAGTTGATAATTCAGTTTTCTAACTGTCAGCTAGTTATTTCAGCTAGCTTGTTTAGAACTAGAAGCTCATTTAGAACTAGTACTCAATGCATACTCTTTGTTCGAAATACTGGTGTTTTGTTGATTAAATTATTAGGGTCACCCTAAAAGTTTTACCCGTTTCCTGTAATTTTAAAACAGTACATTGTAGGTCTATGTTATCATTATCAATAGAAAGTGAATTCATTAATTGATTATTACCAAAAAACTTTCAGAATTTGCGACCCCTGAATGAAAAGTTATTGAGACTTTAGTGGTGACATGGTATGGATGGCGGTATAAATCAGAGTGTAATTATTCAATTTCTTGAATCACAGCAAGCTATTGCAATCAATATTTACAGGCAACTGAAAACAACACTTCATGAAAGTTCAGTAAGAAGGTGGGTTAGAGAATTTAAAGGAGGAAGAACAAATATACTTGATGATGATAGACAGGGATGCCCAAGCACAGCCAGTAACAATGAAAATAAGGAAAGAATTGCTCTAATCAGAGATAATAGGAGAATAAGCCAGGCTGAGATATCTCAAACATTGAACATAGGTCATGCTGCTGTTGAAGATTTGATTTCCAGTCTTGGGATGAGAAAGATTGTCTCAAGATGGATTCCCTACCAAATTGATTGGTATCAGAAAGCTTACAAACTACTCAATATCTTTGAACAACTGGATAGGTAGTCTTGCCTCATCCAGCCTACAGCGCAGACCTGGCGCCATCAGACTATTATCTGTTCTGGAAATTAAAGGACCATCTTCAGGGTAATATATATGAGAATGATGAGGAATTGCAAAATGCAGTAAGGGCATTTTTCAGGTCTAAACCGCCCTTATACATTGCCAGAGGAATTGATATGCTTCCAGCCAGGTGGCAAACATGCATTGACAATAATAGACAATTCGAAGCTATATAGACATACCTAAGACATTAGTTAATATGTATGACTAAACATATCATATAATATTTTTTAGGTGTAAGACACAAATGGTTAAACTTTCAGGGTAATCCTAATACATTTGTTAAGACTATTTGTGGCCTCACTTTAAAGGTTCTATTTGTGTGAGTATTTTGGCAAGTTGGCAAATGATTGGAAAGAATGATTAAAGTTGTGACAAACCAGGTATTCCTACAATTACAATACAACAAAGTACAAACATAGAATCAGGCTTGTAAGCCAGATACTTTTGCAGCATGATAATGCAAGACCAACCACAGTTTGTAAACGGATTCTTTAAAAAAATCAAGAATGATAATTATGTCAACATCTATCATACAGCCTACATTTCATCCAATCAAACTACTGCTTTTTTGTTTAACTAATAGATCATATGCAAGAAGTGACCAATGATAATCATTCCATGGGATTGAAGTCAGGATGTTAATCTGTCCATTCTTCCAAGACCTTAAGCTTTTTCCTTTAGGAATCTTAAATTACATTTGGTTTAGGTCAGAGTTCCAATTGAATTTTATTTTATTTCTCAGTATTATACAAATTTATCTTAAAAAACTACAAATTTAAAATTGTTGTTGTCATCCTAGACAAATACTAAGCTAAGTTTTCTGATTATATATTTGACAATAGTCTCTAATAATTTTAATTAGCTATATTGGGTTTTGAATAAACATAAAATGGTGAGAATCGGATTTGGGCATGTTGCAAAGTTTAGTCACTGTTGCCATTGAAAACCTAGGTGGCATTAAAACATTTAAATAGGCAAATAGCCTATACATATATAAAATACTCAAAAATATATTAAGACTCTTTAGTTGGAATTTTCTCTATGTAACAGCTACTTGAGTTCCCATCAAAGCCAGGCCTATCACATTGGTTCAATAATACTTATCGGTTCAAACAGAAAACATCCCCAAAAATATATTGTCTAAAAAGTTGAAAAAAATTTAAAAAATTTCATGGTTTTTACAATAATGATATAGAAAAATATACTGTTTTTTGATATATCTCATTATTTCAGCAAAAAATAAAAGAACTATATAGAATAAACTAAGCAACAGAAAACTTTTAGATTGTAAATGCTTGTGGTAATCTTATGGTTAACTTTTAAATATACAGCAATCCGTATAAAATTTAGTACACCCTAAATTTTCATAGGCCAAATTTAAAAGAATGAGTTGCTATAATATTAATTGTTATACTATCCAACAGAGATCTTTGAAAGGTTTTGCATAATGTACCAATGGATTCAAAATATTCCTAAAAATGATTTATATATTAATTAATATATGCATGAGATGTGCTATGATCACACAACACAGTTTTGAATATCAATTCAAAGTTCGTTACATATATCAATCCAGCCTTAATTTAGTGATACTCTTTCACAATTTTTCCTTATTTAAAAAACACAGAAAATTTTTTTGCCTTATCATCGTAAAGTTGTTCAGTGTTTGATAAAAATTTGGACATTTCAATAGAAATACTGTTCTAAAAATAGAAAACAAAGTATAACGAAATAGAAACTGTGCTTTCAAATTGGCAGCCAAACAATATATCAAAAAATCGAACTGTAAACTGTTAAAGATTTAACAAAGAGCAAAAGTCTTTGCAAATATCATGATGAAGCATCTATAAATTAATTGTTTGTGGTGTGTTTATCAATCTTTTCTGTTTCTCTTTAAATGTTTATGATCTTTTGTAGATGTTATATCTTCTGGTTATAAATTTACTATAACCATATAGAAGTACAAGTTCTTAACATTATAACCATTTTTTATGCCTATTACAAATAGTTTTGCTGCACCTGTTAAAAAATGCTTTCAAAAGAAAGACTGAGTTTCAATTACCACAGGGAAAATATCCAAACCTTATTTATGAAAGAAAGTGAAATGCTACCAATGTGTGCACAACAACAAGGATTGAGTAGTTTTGCATCAAAAGAAACTCTCCAGATAGAATTAGCAGATCAACAGAAAAAAACAAAAGCAGTCCAGAAGCTGCTGGATTATCTCAGTGAAATTTCAATAGATAAAACACTTAAAATATTAAAAACAATTAGTGATAAGGGTAATGAACAAGCTGGACAACTGAGAGAAAAAGTAAAAGATCAGACATCTGTTTGGCATATATTAGTAGCTGCCACAAAGGAACAGAGGATGAATGATTGTTGTATGATTTCACTTCTTCCGTTTGGTGGGACAAAACAAGTGAGAATTGAAGATATCAATACTCCAATTAAAATGTTAAAGACAACATCTGAGAATATCATTGAAAGAAAACTTGTAGACACAGAAGTGACTTGTGACAATTTTTTTAAGATATTCTACAAGAAATCTTAAAATAAAATCTTAATTGAAGGAATACCTGGAGTGGGAAAAAGTGTTCACATGAAAAGTGTTCTCTTTAAGTGGTCCCAGATTGATGATAATGACAAACTGTTTATATTTCTCATTCTGAAGAATGTCCAAAAAGAAAAAAGTATTTATGAGGAGATTGTAGAACAAAACTTTAAAAATATTTCATTCATTGATGCTAAAATTGTTGAATTATTTTTCACTGAAAAAAGAAATGATGTAATATTGCTTTTAGCAGGAGCAGATGAATTTCATTTAAAAAATCATCAAATCAATGATATCCTTAATCAACAAAAAACAAATATTCCTACTGCAATATGGTCTCGCAAATGGAAGGGACAGGAATTTGAAAGTACCTGTGATATTGCATTTGAGCTAATGGGGTGGAATCCTCATCAAATGGAAAATTTCTTTGCTAAGTGTTTTATTTCCAAGGAAAAAAGCAAAAACTTTATTGAAAAGATTATAAATAATAATTCCAACATTAAAAAGATGTGTAAAATTCCAATTTTGGCAATGATTGTCTTTCATGTTTGGATTGAAAAAGAAGATATTTGTGAAAAATCTCTATATGAAATTTATGAAGATCTTGTTGAGAAAGCATAAAGAATGGAAAAATGTTAAATAAAACCGACCAAAACCGTCTTTGTAAATTGTCTTTCATGAATCTTGCTAAAAACAAAATTATCTTACCTAAAGATAGCACTGATCAAAAACTTTTTAAAGAGGGTTTACAAGGCTTATTGCAGATTATTCCAGCTGAATTTGATAAGAGAGAACTACATTTCTATCATTTATCATTTCAAGAGTTTTTTTCAGCAAAATTTCTGAAAATATAATGCAATATAAAGAAAATGAAGTCAAAAATTTAATGTCTACTATGGATAATTTATTGAGAACAACAAATAATTCCACTATTTATAATGTCATTGACTTTATAAAAGAACATAAGCAAGACATATTTAATAATATATACTCTACTCTGAACTGGTACTAAAAATGTACAATTGTAGTGACAATGTCAAAAAGATTTTATGTCAAGATTCGGATGACTGTCACACCATGATTCTAGAAAATGACGACATTCACAATTATATTCTGGAAACTTTAATAGAAAAGACTGGAGAGTTCTTAGAAATGGTAGAGATTGTCAATACAAATATCAACACTAAACTTTTATTTGAATTGCTTTTCTCAAAGGCAGATGGTTTAAAGAAACTGATAATATATGATACAGTTTTTTCAGATTATGGTTCAAATCATGCACTCTTATCAAATTATTTGTGGAAATTAGAGCAATTGGAAATAAGGGATTGTTATTTGAAAGAGCAGACTCTGAAAGATATTGGAAAAGTTTTAAAATATTGTCCTTCACTAAAAATTTTAATTTTTTCAAACAACAGAATGTTGGGAGATAGATTTAATGCAGTTTGTGAAGGACTAGCATCACAAAAAATTACTCATATCAATGTTTCCAACTGCTTTTTGAATAAGCAGGAAATTAAAATTCTTGCACAAACACTTAAACATTGTTCTGCACTAGAAAATATTGATTTATAACATAATAAACAAATAGGAGAAATATTCCAGATAACATCTGATGGATTGCAAACTCCTTTAAAACATCCAAAACAAATAAAATTAGTTCAATGCAGTCTAAATGTCAAACAAGCTGAAAATCTTCACAAAATTATTCAAAGTTGCTCTTGCCTGGAAATTTTAGATTTATCAGAAAATCACAATGCAGAGTTGGGAAGAAAGTTTGGAAGCAACTGTTTTAAAAGTTTAAGAAAAGTATACCTTAAATATTGTTGTTTAAATGAAACAGAGGCAATTCTTCTAGAATCTTGCTCATCACTACAATGTTTAGATTTATCTAACAATAGATTAATGGGAGATAGATTTAAAAATATTTGCAATGGAATATCTTCATCATGGGAGTTTATAAAAGAAATAAACTTGAAAAATTGTTATCTGACTGAAAAACAAGGAAAATGGCTTGGAGATACTTTGAAAAAATGTACTTCATTAGAAAGTCTTAATTTATCATATAATAGATTAGGTGAAGAAGCTTTTGAAACAATATGTGATGGATTAAAGTCATCCTCTTCAAAATTAAGTGAAATGAAACTGATAAGCTGCTTCTTGAGTAAAAGAGATGCAAATTCCCTTTCAAAAATATTGAAACAATGTACTTCATTAGAAACCATTGATTTCTCTGAAAATGAAGAATTAGGCAATGAATTTGAAAAGATTTTTGAAAACTGTTCTAAAAAATTGAAAAGTCTGAAACTCTCTAATTGTAAACTAAATCAAATTGATGCTCACAGTCTACAAGAGTTAATAGAAGTTTGTCCATTTTTAGAAGTTATAGATTTATCCAATAACAAGGAAATGGGAGACGGATTCCGATCTATATGTCAACAGTGGTCAAATGGTAACTCATTAAAAGAAATAAATTTGTCTCACTGTAATCTTTCTAAAACACAAGCAGAATTGTTTGGAAAAGCACTTGAGAAATGTGAAAAGATAAAAACTCTGGACCTGTCAGGAAATAAAAACATTAAGGAAGCATTTTATGAGATATTTAGGTCACTGAAATGTAAAAAACTTAAAGACATTAATATATCAGTATGTGGAATTGCTATTGATACTGCCTTTTATTTTAGAGAAGCACTTGAGCACCATTCTTCAATAGAAAATATAAATGTGTCATCAAACCAAGATGTTGACTTGATTTTCCAAGCACTTATATCATCATCAAAAGTATTAAAAAAAATTAACATAGCTCACTGCAATTTAACAAAAATGGAAGCCTTAGTTTTCTATAGTTTAATAAAGAGTTGCACAGCACTCAGAGAGGTGAATTTGACTGGTAATAAGGAATTTAATAAATATTTAACAGCCATAATTTCTTCCTCAAAGTGTCTAAAAATAATCAACAACAATTTTTTAATCCGAAATCAAGATAACAAAATATCATTTGTGGTCTTTTCTGTTGATCCCTATTTAAACTGTCATCAATTTAGTGAAGAAAAAAATAAACTAATTCTACAAAATTCTAACAAATTCTTGGAAGATAATATTTTATCAACGTGAAGAAATAGCCTCTAAGTAAGCTACAACATAGTATGGAATAGTCACATTTCTGAAAGCGTAAATTGTCATATTTTATGTACAAGCCATCCTTTAGGATAAGCCAATCCAATTTTTAATTTAATTAATTATAATTTATAATATTAGATAAGAAGTCATTTGGACTGGATAAACTCACCAATAAATCTTTTGGGTCAAACCAAAGACAATTAATGAGAAATATTAACCTGCATATGGCCATTGGAATCCAGACTGCAAAGGAAGTGATCCACTAAAAGCTGTAGAATCAGGACTTGATGTAACTATTAAGGATGTTACCATTGATGAAAATGTTAGAATTCAATAAAGTAAATGACAGGAAAATTGGAACACCTCGAATTTTGATATGCCAAATATTAAAAATCATTTTCATTATGAATGTAATTTCGGTAGAAATTAATTAACAAAGCACCAGTATTTCATCCAAAGACCTCCTAGTCATCATTCATTCTAGTTCTACAACTCATTGTGTGTATGTGTTTGCTTAAAATTATTAATTAGTATTAGTATAAACTTTCACAAGTTATACTAATATTTCAGTGAATCACAATTTCCTAAGATACCCAACTAACTTAACAACTACACAACTATTGTACATAATGCTATTATTGAGTATTCTAAAAAGTATGGAGTTCTATAATTCTCTATAAAGCATATACTGTATGTAAAAACTAAATTGAACATGAATTTTGTGGTAAAATCCTTTGAATGTATTAAAAATTCCATTTTCCATAGCATCATTCTATGAAAGATCTACTGTTTCTATTGTGCAGCAATTTTTTAGCAAATTTACAATTTCCAAATTTTGTTCTTCACTTAAGTCACAAGAATCTAACTGAAGATTTTTCAAAGTTTTTGTTGACATTTGAAATCCTTCATAAATATTCACAAATCCTTTTTTCATGTTGTTATTATTTGATAGATTTATTGTTTCTATTGTAGAACAATTTTTCAGCAAATCTCCAATTTCTCTACTTTGTTCTTCATTTAAATCACAATACGCCAACAGAAGATTTTTTAAAGTGTTTGATGACATTTGAAGTCCTTCACAAATACTCAAAAATCCACTTCTCATATTTTTATTGTGTGATAGATTTATTGTTTCTATTCTAAAACAATGTTTCAGCAAGTCTCCAATTTCTTTACTTTGTTCTTCATTTAAATCACAATAACATAAATGAAGATTTTTCAAAGTGTTTGATGACATTTGAAGTCCTTCACAAATATTCAAAAATCCATTTCTCATATTATTACTGTTTGACAGATTTATTGTTTCAATTCTAGAACAATGTTTCAGCAAATCTCCAATTTCTGTACTTTGTTCTTCATTTAAATCACAATAAGGAAAATAAGGATTTTTCAGAGTATTTGATGACCTTTGAAGTCCTTCACAAATAACCACGAACCCATTTCTCATGTTTTTATTGTTGGGTAGACTTATTGTTTCTATTATGGAACAATGTTTTAGTAAATCTCCAATTTTGGTACTTTGTTTTTCGTTCAAATCACAATAAGCTAAATGAAGATATCTTAAAGTGTTTGATGACATTTGAAGTCTTTCACAAATATTCAAAAATCCATTTCTCATATTTTTATTGTGTGATAGATTTATTGTTTCTATTCTAAAACAATGATTTAGCAAATATCCAATGTTTGTACTTTGTTCTCCATTTAAATTACAGTCAAAAAATTCCAACTTTTTCAAAGTGTTTGATGACATTTGAAGTCCTTCACAAATATTTATAAATCCATTTCTCATATTTTTATTAAATGATAGATCAATTACTTCTATTGTGGAACAATGTTTCAGCAATTCTCCAATTTCTGTACTTTGTTCTTCATTTAAATCACAATAAGCTAAATGAAGATTTCTCAAAGAGTTTGATGAAATTTGAAGTCCCTTACAAATGTTTATAAATCCATTTCTCATAATGTTATTATATGATAGCTCAATTGTTTCTATTGTGGAACAATGTTTTAGCAAATCTCCAATGCTTGTACTTTGTTCTCCATTTAAATTACAGTCAAATAATTCCAACTTTTTCAAATGGTTTGATGAAATTTGAAGTCCCTTACAAATATTTCTAAATTTATTTCCCATATTTTTATTCCCTGATACCTTTGTTTTTTCTATTCCTGAACAATGTTGTAGCAAATCACCAATTTCTGCACTTTGTTTTTCACTTAAATCACAATATTCTAATTCCAGATTTTTTAAATGGCTTGCTGACATTTGAAGGCCTTCACAAATATCCAAAAAACCATTTCTCATGTTGTCATTGTTTGATAGATTTATTGTTTCTATTGTGGAACAATGTTTTATCAAATTTCCAATTTGTGTACTTTGTTCTTCATTTAAATCACAAAAATCTAAATTAAGATTTTTCAAAGTGCTTGATGATGTTTGAAGGCCTTCACAAATATTCAATAATCCATTTCTCATATTTTTACTGTTCGACAGATTTATTGTTTCTATTGTGGAACAATGCTTTAGCAGATTTCCAATTTGTGTACTTTGTTCTTCATTTAAATCACAATAACAAAAATGAAGATTTTTCAAAGTGTTTGATGATGTGTGAAGTCCTTCACAAATACTTAAAAATCTCTTTCCCATATTTATATTTTTGAGAAATTTATTGTTTTTATTGTGAAACAGAGTTTTAGCCAATTAAGTTTGTCTTCATTTGTATTCCCTTTTCAAATTAATGCTTTAAAATCGGATATCTAAGCCAATTTTCTCAAATGAGTAATTGTTTGGGAGCCATTTTGAAAATGTGTTTTGTTTGTTTTACATTCTTTTCATATATTTTAAGAGCTAAATGATGTGTTTTTCTGTAGTGAAATTTTTATATTTTTATCAAATATTTCAACAAATTTTATTATTAAAATGATGAAATTCTTTATAATTTGTAACTAGGGATAGATTGTAAAAAGGTATTACTAAAACATGGACTGCACTGCTTTTTAGAAGACCGTAGACTAAGATCAATACTATTTAATATGAATACTTAACAAGAGTATTGTGTTTTAGGTACAACAACCAAAAGAAAATTTACTAAAACGTTTATAAATTAATATTGGAATTTGATATAATGTTATAATATTTCTTCATGCTTCCAATAACAAATACTTGTAGGATGTTGAAATATTTGTTTTTTTCAAGTTTTGAAGTTTAATGTTGTCAAGTGAAATCAATATTTTATTTTAATTACAACAATTAAATCTATGATTCAACTAAAAATGAACATTGGAAACATATGAGTTGGATCCTTCGCCGTTTTCAAGCAAAAAGCAAGTTGAAACCAAGTTAATTTTATATATCCTCATAGTATTGTTACCTTTGATAACTTTAATGGCATTCAATAAAGCCGAATCAGCAAATTTTCTCTGAGAAACGTAAATCTCTACTATATTGCAGACTTTTTTAAAACAAGCTCTATCTAATGTTGTTTACATCTAGCTGCTCAACCCTTTTCATTGATCCAAAATGATTCTAGAGCATTGTACAACATTGGAAATGGCATTGATTATGAATAAAAGTGGTTTCTATTACAATGATCAGCTGATGTCCAGATGGAATGTGAAAGCAAATGCAAAACTTTAATTCAATTTAATTTAATTTAAACAACAAAAGGTTATTCAACATTTAATAAAATAAAATCATTCTTTGTGATTAAATCACTATCTTAATTACTATCATTTGCCTCAACTTCTTCAAAATAGTCTAGATCCCTTGATTGGATTTCTGAATAAACAGGATTTTCATCCTCCAATGTTGATTCCTTAACTAAAGCAGGTTCATTTCTATTTTCTTTCAAGCTTTTCTTGTTATTTACTTTGTATTGGTCAATTTCCAGACTAGTTAACATCTTAAAGCATTTCCACTTCAATAGTAAAATAAAGGAAAAAAGGGTGCAAACATACCCAGATATGTTTGCACCCACTTAGGTACATTCGCACCAAGGTACATTTCCATCATAAGTCTTCGTTTTCAATTTATATTTCATCAAATTTGTTCTAACAGTTAGGAATAAGGAAAGTGGTTAGTGTTAGGGTAAAATCCATTGATTTATGGAGTTTCTTTCTCTCGAATTCAAACAATTACAAAATTCGATTAATTGAATATAAAAACTTTTCCTAATAAAATATTTAATTACTTTATATATTTTATGAATGGAACATATTCTATTTGTTGAAAATTATAATGATAAGAAAGGGAATGGACTATCTATATTTAGAGCTGGATCATACAATTTCTTTTTTCAAATATTAAAAATGTTCTTCGAAAGATGCTCATTCTTATCATTCTTTCCTTTTTTCCTGTCTTTTTTCCTTACATTTATCTACCAACTCCAATTGTTTCACACCAAATATACATTGATAAATCAGGTTAGTTATTTTTGAATATCGTATTTTATCTAATAATTAATTTAAATGAATGTTTAACAATAGCATTTCGTGCATAGTGTGCACAATGCTTTTGAATATTAACCAAAATGCAAGCACCCATGTGCAGATATAAAATTCTTGCCAATGAATGTAATGAACTTAACATTAATTACAGAACTACTCTAATCATACTTTAACTACCTATCAACATTGAATGTAACATATACATGTATATTTTAACACCTATAAAAGAAAATACTATAATATTGGCCAAATACAGGTCATGATTAGTCAGCTTGAAGGCTCATCTTTAATTGGCCAAACTATAATTCGATTAACTTTCCTAAATGTTGAACCATGTAACATCCTGTTACTAAAGATAAACATGAATTAGACAGTTCGCCAACTGTAAAGTGATGATTGGATATCAGAAGCAAACCTCAAAGTATCTACAGTATTGTACTTGTCACCACAGATATAAAAGCTCACTTTCTCACAATATTATATATATTAATAAAGGGAAAAAACTGCAAAGTAAATTGGATGTTTTTATATTTCATCATTTTTTTTGTTTTAAATTTTGATTTTGAAATTTAAATAGTTTATGTAGCATTTGTAGTAATTTGTATTTTAAGGGTAAAAAATATACATTAATTATCATTAAATATACTGCTGTCTCTTCTGAAGTAATTTTCTTACAATAAAGCCAAAACGGTGAATATCTTTTGCTCCTTTCTCCTCAGTTTTAAAAGTTAATTTTTTTATATATAAAAAGAACATATTATCTTCAGCCTGAATTTATTTTGTCAATACTGTTAACCAACAGGAAAGCAAAAGGAAAATATTA